CTCCCCTATCTATTGGTGTTTTAACTATAACTCTTTATATGTTGTTTTTAAAATGGCTACTGTAGGTATTATACACGCCTAATTTCAGAGTCTACATAGAGTTAATATTTCACCTCTTTCAGAAAAAATAGAAGCCTTACAACTGTATAGGGCCTTTGCCCTCACTCCCTTATGTTGTAGGTGTCGTCTGCATTATATCTACATATATTCAAACCCCACCAGACCTTAACGGTTTTGCTTTCAACAGCCTTACATATTTTAATGAACGTAAGAGGAGAGACGTATGCTATTACATTTACTTAATTCCCTTTTTTGCTCTTCCCTTTTTCTTGAACTTCCCAGTTTCCCTCTAGAATTAATTCCTTTCTGTCTGAAGACTTACCTTATCATTTCTGGTAGAGCAGAGCTGCTGGCAACAAATTCTCCCCATGTTCCTTCCTCTAAGAATGACTTTATTTTGCTTCCATTCCTGAACAATATATCCAGAAAGATTCGAGGTTGGCTCTCACACTAACATAACATCAAAAAAAAAAAAATCTTCTGGCCAGGATGATTTCTTTTCTTTTTTTTCAAGATTTTTAAAATTTTATTTGAGAGAGAGAGAGCACAAGCACAAGCAGGGGGATCAGCAGCCAGAAGGAGAGGGAGAAGCAGGCTTCCCGCTGAGCAGGGAGCCCGATGTGGGGCTCGATCCCAGGACCCTGGGATCATGACCTGAGCCAAAGGCAGACACTTAACGACTGAGCCACCCAGGTGCCCCACTAGGATGATTTCTGATGTGAAATCTGTAATCACCCAAATTGTTTTCCCTCTTTACGTAATGTGGCATTTTCTCTATTTTTTTTCTTTTTTGGTTTTGACTAGGTTAATTATGACGTAGGTGGGCATGGTTTTTAAAGCTTATCCTATTTTTCATTTGCTGAGCATCTTGGACATGTAAACGTATGACTTTCAACAAATCTGTAAAATGGACATTTATTTCTTCAAACTTTTTTTCTTCACTGATAGCATTCTCCTTTTGCTGGCAGATCAATTATATAAATTGTCTCACAAATCCCTCAATCTGTGTTCATTTTTATTTCTTTTTTTTAAGATTTTAATTATTCATTTGAGACCCAGAGATAGAGAGAGAGAGAGAAAGCCTGAGCGGGGGGAGAGGCAGAGGGAGAGGGAGAAGCAGGCTTCCCACCGAGCCAGGAGCCCGATATGGGGCTCCATCCCAGGACCCCGGGACCAGGACCTGAGCCGAAGACAGACGCTTAACCATCTGAGCCACCCAGGCACCCCTGTGTTCATTTTTAAAAATCTTTTTTTCTCTACTGCTCAGATTGTAATTTCCCTTGTTCTGTTTTCAAGTTCACTGACTCTTGCTTCTGTCATCTTCATTCTGTCATTAGACACAGGAACTTTTAATTTCAGTTACTGAACTTTTCAGTTCTAAAATTTCCTTTTTTCCCCCCTCTTATAATTTCTTTGCTGAGAGACGTCTATTTTTTCCATTTATTTCAAGAGTGTTTGTCTTTATTTCATGAAGCTTGATTATAAAAATGGCTTTGGGGCACCTGGGTGGCCCAGTCAGTTAGGCAAGTGACTCTTGATTTTGGTTCAGGTCATGATCTCAGCGTCATAAGATGGAGCTGCACATTGGGCTCCAAACTCAGCAGGGAGTCTGCTTGAGATCTCTCTCTCTCTCCTTTTGCCCCTCCCCCCAAAATAAATAAATAAATCTTTTAAAAAATGGCTTTAAACTGTTGGTGAACTCAGGGTTGGTGTTTGTTGATTATTTTTTCCTTTGAGTGTTACTGAGACTTTCCTGTTTCTTTGAATATTACATTAGAAGACACTGGGTTCTGATAAAATCTTCTGGGGAATGTGGATTTTTGTTTGTTTGAGCAGGCTGTCAACCTGGGTAGGTACACTTTTTTTTTTTTTTAAGATTTTATTTATTTGTCAGAGAGAGCACAAGCAGGGGCAGAGGCAGAGGGAGAAGCAGGCTCCCTGCTGAGCAGGGGCCCAATACAGGGCTTGATCCCAGAACCCTGGGATCATGATCTGAGCCAAAGGCAGACGCTTAACCAACTGAACCACCCAGGCATCCCACTAGCTGACATTTTGACCTGCTTTCGAGGATGTAGCTCCCAGTAACAGTTCAGCTTTCATAGCCCATGCTGACCATTTCTCTGGTTTCACTTCCAAAAAACCCTTAACAACAATACCTAATTGCTGTCACTTGATCATTCTCTCATTTCTTCCACTAAAATGAAGGACAAATGTGTCTTGGGACTTAGTTATTCTATTCTCCATGTGTCAGATTTTATCTTTTTGGTTTCTATTTTCATGATGTTCAGCTGCATTCTGGGATACTTCCTGAGTTTCATGTTCCAAGTCCCCAGTTTTCTGATCAGTTATCTAATGTCTATTATGGAATAGATCTTTTGAATCCTTTTATTCAATTAATGAGTTTTTATCTATGAAATTTCCTTAGCACCCTTTTTCCACTAAACTCTTCTTGTATCGTGAATGTCACATCTTCTGTTTGAAGATTTAAAGCATACTTAATTTTAAATCTCTTCCCGATTTTCAATTTATCTCCCTCGTCTTTGTTGGGAATTCCCACAGTGACTGGGTCTGTACTCTGTTTTTCATGGCATAGCTGATCGCATACACTTGGTCATTTTGCCACTGAGCTAACCCTTCACAGAAGTTATCACCCCCATTCTCCTGTATTGTGAAGTCCTAAACAAGTGACTAGCTTGCAATTGCTTCAGACTCACAATGGGTAGGTGTTCCAAACTCAGGGTGCCAGCAATGCATGGAGTATTCAAAATTGAGCTCCACACTACACTGATACCTGCCCATATTGCACTGAATATTTTTCACTCACACCTGGAGAAAGGAGCTGAATTCTGGGTGTAACCTCAGATCGGGGAGTGGAGATATTGCAGTCCCTGTTCAGACAGGCAGCAGGCTCAGAGCTCCCAACCTTATACCTGGAACCCTGTCTCCTCTGGAGCTTTGCCACCTGTCTCCATACATACACAGTAAACCAGATCCTGGGGCCCATCTCTGGGACCCATGACCAAGCCCACTCAGTGTTGGTCTCTGCTTATGTCTAGGGAGTCACTCTGCATTTCTGGCACTTTAGTTACTCTAATTTAACTGTGGCCATGTATCTTACAAATCTTTATCTGGCATTTCTGTGTGCTTGGAGTGGATGTTGGCTGTGGCCTTCAATTGACCCTGTGATATGAACTCTGACACTGCGGGCATCTCAATGCCTACAAGCCACATATGAAACCACCCCGGACCACAGCAATCCTGAGGCACCACAGCAACCCTGACGGGAGAGGCCGCTATGTTGTCACTATGAGGAACAGGAGACTCAGAAAGGGGAAGTATCTGCTAAAGAATGACACTAAAGAGTGTTTCAGCTCTAACTTCAATTCGATCTCTGAATTGCCTCCAACCCGGGCTCTTAACCCCGTGCCTGGAGAAGGAATTCACAGTATGGGATGGAGAGCTCCGCCCAGGGGAGGACGGGGCCCTGAGGAGGCAGAAATGAATCAGAGGTTTAGAAGGAGTGATGAAGAGAAAGATGGCGCTGACTTACAGAAACAAGGAAGTCAGTGAAGGGAAGTGTTGGGGGGGCAAAGAAAATCCACAATCCCCGGGCAGGAGGAAGGGCCGTGCTTCCTTCTGAGAAATGACAATCTGTCTTCACAGCACCTCCCACTGCCTGCCTCTCCCTGGGTCATCCTCCTGGGGTGGCCCCACTGGCTCCTCCAGGCACCAGACAGAGGGTGGAACAGCCTCGTGCTCCGGTGCTCATGTCCACTCACCGGATACACACCGCCAGGCCCCTGAGACCCTCTTAACGTCCACTCCATCACAAGAACTCAAGAAGCCTGTGTGCATCAGCTTGTCAGCCTGCCCACTGCTCCTCCTCTCCCCAGTTTATTCCTCCACCACCTCCAGAGGATCCTTTTAATCACCAGGCTGGTCTGATCCTGTGGGAGACTCAAAACCCTCCCGCACTCTGCTGCAGAAAGATCTAAGTTGTACCATCTCATCTTCAAGGCTATGACCATCAGACTAGAACTAAACCCACCAGCCCCAGCAAACACAACTTACACTCCAACCCAAACACCTCCCCAAGCAACACAAACTGAGCTATTAACAATTCCATGCCTTCTCTCGGGCTGTCCCCTCAGCCAATCTGAACCTGGTTAACTCCTCTCCAACCTACCATCCTGGCTCGTTCTGCTCAACCGTACATGTGTTTTGTGTGATAGGTTCAGGTAAGACTTAAGTGAGAAAACTACATACACAGCATAATTAGTGATCAACACACCACCCAGGGACCAGACAAATGCTGGGGTTTGACTACTAATTGTATTTCCTACAGCGTTAGTCTTCTCCAGACAGAAATTTGTTTGACTGTCTGCTGGTTAAAATCTTCCCATTGCCTTAAAGTAGAAATCCCAAATGTTTGCATGATGCTCAAAATCCTGTGTGACAAGGCCCTGGCTTCCTGATTGCTCTCAGTTCTGAGAACAGCTCCAATCTTTCTGGTTGAGGATGCTCCCCACTCCTATCTCTGTGCTAAACCCCAGCTCCTGCCTTCCATCACTCCACTGCCCAGAAGGACCCTTCACCACTAGGACCCAGACTGTGTGATGTCTACACATTATGATTCTCATGATTCCGTTTTCTTTTTTCTTCCAACTTGGAAGAGTCTTATAAGACTATAATAGAATTGTTTCCCACCTAAATATTTATATTGTCTGTTATCACTAATCACAGCCCCATGCATCCAGGGAAGGAACGAGTCTGCCCCCTCACCAGTGAATCTCCAGTGCCTGGTGCCATGACTGGATGCGGTCACTGCTCACTAATCACTGGCTGATTGTCAGTGTGGTGGAAGGAAGGACGAAAATTTGCATTTACAGAAGCTCAGGAAAGGGAAGTGTCACAGCCCAGGTCACACAGCCTCTGTGTGAGTAAGGGGCAGAAGTGGAACTGAAAGTGGGCTGGCTCCCAGACCCTGCCCTACCTCCCCAAGCTTCACGTGCGGGGACCGGTGCTGTCCTCTGGACTTGGGCTTGGTGGGGAGGAGGCGGAGTGAGTGTGGTCTGGGGAGACTCACATCTGCTTTGAACAGTCCCAGGACCTGCTGCTCTCATGTCACCCTTCAGGGAGAGCAGAGCGAGGCCCTGGGGGGGCTCTCCTCCTTCCTGTGAGGCCATCCATCCGGGACACGTGACCAGCAACAAGGGGCCTGGGCTGGGTCACACCCTGTGCATCTGTCCGTCCATCACACTCTGAGGACTTTATAAGCTGTCTGCACGGCTGAGGACCATGGGAGGCAGCGCTGGGACCCTGACCCCCACTGCCCTTCTCTACCTTGGTGAGCTTTCTGGAAACGAGGAGGGATGGGGTTGCCCTCCCCCCCAGCCCCCAGGTCCTGGTCCCTGGGAGATCTCAGGACTGTGGAGGATCAGTGGGGGCAGAACTTCTGGGGGAAGGAGTGTGCTCAGCCCCAGATGTGACCCCAGTACCCAGGGGCCCAAACCAGGCCTGGAGCAGCTACGTGTGGGTGGGGGACGCACTCACAGGAACTCTCTTCCAGGGCTGTGTCAGGGCCTGTGGGACCAGGCATGGACAGGTAAGTCCTCCCCAGACCTCCTGCTTCTGCCCAACAACCCCCTGGGCAGCTGGAGGGTGCAGAGGGTCAGGGCTGATGGTGACCGGTGTGGGAAGGGCCTTGGGGCGACAGGTGGGAAACTGAAGAGAGAAGGGTACCCTTGCAACTCCATCTGATTCCTTTCCAGGGACCCTCCCCAAACCCTCCATCTGGGCTGATCCTGGCCCCATGGTCACCAAGGGGAGCCCTCTGACCATCTGGTGTCAGGCGTCTCTGCAGGCTGATGTCTACTATCTGTATAAAGAGAGTGTCCATGGATCCTGGCCCATGAAGACCTCACAGGATTCCAGCAACAGGGCCAGTGTCTCCTTTGCATCCATGAGCTCACACAATTCAGGGAAATACCAGTGTGCATATCAGAGAGGGAAGAGCTGGTCACAGGGGAGTGACCTCCTGACCCTGGTGGTGACAGGTGAGGGCAGGAGCTGGTCCCCTCCCCCTGGGGGCCCTCCTCCAGGCAGAAGAGAATGGAGTGTGGCCTCAGGGGGACCCCTTGCTCACAGTCCACAGTCCATGGGGTACATGGGTTGATGGCCCCTATAACAGCTCCTTCCTTCTCTCTCAGGAGTGTATGATGCACCCTCCTTCTCAGCCAACCCAACCCTTGTGGTGGCCTCGGGAGGGAATGTGTCCCTCTCCTGTAGCTCACCGTGGCCACGGGGGTCATTCCATCTGCTGAAGGAGGGGGGAGCTGATGTGCCCCAATACCTGGAGTTGACGTTCCGTCGGAAGCGGTACCAGGCAGTCTTCCTTGTGGGCCCTGTGAACACCTCCCATGGGGGGACCTACAGATGCTACATTTCTCCCGAATCGTACCCATATTTGTGGTCACAGCCCAGTAACCCTCTGCACCTTCAGGTCACAGGTGAGGGGGCCCCTGCTTCACCCCATCTACCTCCTGGGCCCAGATGACTGACCTAAGCCATATGCCCAGTGGAGCCCTGGGGTTGATGGGGGGTGGGTGACAAGGTCGTCCTGGGGCCAGACCCACAGGTGGGAGGCCTTGGGAGGGACCCATACGAGCCTCACGGCAGGCCCTGGGCCAAAGTTGGGTGTGAGTCCCCTCAGTACCACTGTCCCCTTCTGTCCAGGTGTCTACAGGGAGCCCTCCCTCTCGGCCCAGCCGGGCCCCCTGGTGCAGTCTGGAGACAGCCTGAGCCTCCTGTGTCGCTCAGAGACTGGCTTTGACAGATTCGCTCTGACCAAGGATGAGGAGCTCAGAGCTCCCCAGTGTCTAGACGGGCAACCCAGCCCCAACTTCACCCTGGGCCCTGTGAGCCGCTCCCACGGGGGCCGATACAGATGCTACTGTGGACACAAGCTCTCCTCCACGTGGTCGGCACCCAGTGCCCCTCTGGACGTCCTGATCACAGGTGAGGAGCCCCCGGCCCCACGTCCCGACTCAGGGCCTGGGAACACGGTTGCCCCTGGGTGATGGGGTCCAGGGAAAGGGTCAGGAGCACAGGCTGATATGGAGACGTGGTCTAGAGACAGGGCCTGAGAGAGGGACAGTGAGGGCCATGGAGATAAAGGACGCCCACTCAGAGAGACAAGAGGTGCTGAGAGGGGGCCCCACAGAGAGTCTCTGGAGAGAGGATGGTGGTCCCGAGCTCAGGGTCAAGGGCGTGTGGGGAGGGGTGGCTCTACACGTCACGACCTTGCTCTCCCCCAGGAATGTATGAGAAACCGACCCTCTCAGCCCAGCCAGGGCCTTCAGTGTCCTGGGGAGAGAACGTGACTCTGCAGTGTCGCTCTGAGGTCTGGTTTGATAGCTTCCACCTGTCCAAGGAGGGGTCCCTGGCTCCTCCCCAGGTCCTTCATCTGCAGGACACAGCGATACCTAACCAGGTCAAGTTCACCCTGAGTCCTGTGACCTCAGACCACGAGGGGACCTACAGGTGCTACAGCTCACACAGCAACTCTCCCTACCTGTTGTCACAGCCCAGTGACCCCCTGGAGCTCCTGGTCTCAGGTGAGGAGCCCAGCCCTGTCCCATTTTTGTCCTCATGGTCAGCTCAGGGACCTGTTCTCAGGGAATGGGAGTGAGAGGGGGTCACAGAAGGTCATCTTCTGTGGCATGGCTTGTGTCTGGGGTAACCACGGGGCCCTGGGGGCTCTGAGCCTGGGCCAGGTGGCAGGTGGTGTGGTCATGGCAGAGGGAGAGGGTGGCGCCCAGTGGGGGGAGGAGCACCCTGAAGTTGGGAGCACGTAGCCCCTGCCCCTCACCTGCAAGAAGGTGGCCCCATCCCCGTGCGGGGCGGGGGAGTAGGCACAACCAGGAGGCGTCTGAGTTCACCTTCACAGAAGGTAAGGGGGCCCAGCCTGAGAGCATCTGGGGAGTCAGGGCAAGAACAAGCCTTGGAAGTCACACCCCCACGATCAGACCCCAGCTCTGCTACTTCCCAGCTGTGGGCTCTTGGACAAGTCATGTCCCTCTCGGTGACCCAGGCTCACTGTCTGCACAACAGGCCTCCCGCCACCTCCCTCAGGGCCGCTGTGAGTTTTCGGTGAAAGCCTCAGCATGGGCCTTCTTGGATCTCTGGAGAGGCAGAGCCCTCCCTCCTGCCCTCACCCATATACACACTCCAGGCCCACACACGCCCCTGTGGGGGGTCAGGCCTGTGCAGTCGGGGAGACGGGTCTGGGCTTGGGTTTGGTGGACAGGTCTCCACTCAGGTATTCTGCCTGGAGGGTAAGGGGGCAGCAAGAAAAAAACCTCAAATCCTACAAGGGAACCCACAGCCCTGGTTCCAGCCCCAGCCCTGCCGCCCCCACGCTGGGCGACCTGAGACACGTGCATGACCCCTCTGTGCCTCAGTTTCTTGTCTGTGGAGTGGGCGGGATGGGCGGCAATCCCCTGCTGCGTGATCACTGACAGGGTCAGAGGTGAATGCACAGAGCCCAGCAGGTGCCTGGCACACAGCAGGTGCTCAGTTAAATGGCATCACTGGCTCCTTCATGGTGTGGCTCCTGCCCCAGGTCCCCACTGGTACCTGTACGTCCTCATCGGGGTCTCGGTGGCCTTCGTCCTGCTGCTCGGCCTCCTCGGCCTCCTCCTGGTCCGACACCGGCGTCGGGGCAGAGGCAGGAAGCCAGGTGAGAAGGGGAGGGGGTGACGGGCCCCAGGGCGTGGTGGCTGCCCCGTGGGCCGACCGAGGGTGGGCTCAGAACACCAGCCAGAGAGGGAAGCCGGAGAGGTGGGAAAGGCCGTGTAAAAAGACTCCAGCATCTCCCAGTGAGAAACCCTAGAAAGAAGGGTACATGTGAACATACATGTAAATATTTTATCCTTTTGGCTTTTCGAACTTATGAAATGTTTGAAAACACATACAAGCTTTGTTTTTCATTGTTCAGAACTGCTTTCTCTTGACTTGTACGTGGGGATGGGTGGGGATCATACAGAGCCTCAGCTTAAGGCAGGCCCTGGACGGTTCGGGGATGGTGGCGGGGAGCCTGAGGCAGATTTCCAACTTCCTACAGCAGTGTCAGCGGAGGTGTCTGAGGACAGGGGCCTGCACGGGAGGTAAGACCACCCCAAGACCCCGACTCCTGCCAGCCAGTGGCCCCTCACTGCCGCTAACTCCCCCGTCTCCTCCCCAGGCCCGGTCCGGCCGCCACTGCCCAGGAGGAGTCCTTGTGTAAGGGGAAGCGCGGGGCCGCCCTGGGGGAGGGAGGAGGCGGGCCCAGAGATGCGGGTGGGCGGTGCAGGCGGGGGATAGCGTAGCACCTGACTCCGTGTGGCTTTGTAACATCACTGACCCTCTCTGGGCTCCTGCCATGTGAGATCTCAGGGGATCTTGGCAAGAGAGGGGGCCACCTTGTTTTGTCCCCACCAGATGCTGTCATGGAAGACACACTGCCTGAGGAAGACAGACAGCTGGACAGCCAGGTGAGCTCCCTGTGCTCCTGACATCCTTGCCCCCCTGCTCACGTGGTCAACCCAGTGGACTCTGCGCCCAGCAGCAGGCCTCTCCCTTCCGGAAGCCCACCACTCTCTGTGCTGCGGCCAGCCCACTCCCCTGGGCCTCTTCTGGTCTCCAGCTGCTGGGGCACTCGAGTGGGCGGAGCTGGAGGTTAGGGCTGAGCGGTGTGTGCCCTGCACAGCGGGGCTGACCCACGCCCTGGGCCTGTGGAGGCCCAGAGAAGGCGCCTCCTCAACTCCACACACAGTGGTCCTGCAGCCTCACTCAGCCTTCTCCTTCCTGTTTCCCCAAAAACCTGTGGCAGGTCCACGCAGTTCACCCTGGCCAACGAGCTGGCCCAGCTGAGCCCCCTTGCAGGGGGCCCTGGGTCTGCCTGTCCCTCCACGTTGATGGCCCACCCCAATTCCTGCCTCCAGCCTTGACCTCGCCCAGCACGATTCCCATGGCCAACTACCCACGTGCCCGCTCCGTGTCTACACCACAGGCATTTCCAATTCACATCCCTCCTCCCCAGATACACTGAGGGAGGGCAAGAGTTGGCTCAAGGCCACTCCTGTCTAGCAAGGTCCTTAGACCCCCAGGGAGTGCATCCTCCCCTCCCCAGCCACGTGCCTTTCCTTTCCCCCAGTTCCAGGCTGCGGGATCTGAAGACCCTCAAGATGTGACCTATGCCCAGCTGAACTACTTGACCCTCACACAGGTGACAGGTGCACCCCCTTCCTCCCAACCAGGGGAGCCCCCAGATGAGCCCAATGCGTATGCTTCTCTGGCCATCCGCTAGCCCAGGAAGGACCCAGACGGCCACTCCAGGGGTCTGCAAGGCTCCCTGCAGGGATCCTGGAAGGCACAATAGCTGCCCACAGTGGGTGCTACCTAAGGAGCCTGGAGGCAGGACAAAGACCAGCAGCAACTCCTGGGACCTTGTGGAAGTTGATTGCTTCCTGAATTCCCATCATGGCACAGCTGATCTTACTGTGCCTAGGAGGATCCCTGAGAAACGCCAAGACCTTTAATTACCTAGTGGCAACCTTGTGGTGTCAGGGGGAACCCAGCACTAAGCTGCAAGAACTGGGGACCTTCTGGAGGCTTTGCAGTACCGGCTGCCATCACACTGAAGCTGGGCACTTTCAACTGACCTCAGAGCCCAAGGCCTCAAAAGATCACTCATGAGCAATGCTGCAGCCCGAGGGGTTGCTCAATGCCAGGGCTTCCGGTTTCATTGAGACCAAGCCCCTTCCTCTGCCAGGTGCAGCTCTCAACAAGGCAGAGAAAAGGGAAGCTGCTCTCCCTCCTGACCTTGTGTTCAGAAACTCCAGATGCAGGGGGAGGGGAGCAGGGTGCCTCAGCTGCCCCTTTCCCATCACACCAGTAAGCTTTAAACCAGCTTGTCCTTCCTGTTCAGTGCTCCCCAGCAAACCCCAATTCAACTAGTCCATCCTCACCGGCAACCCAAGGCTCAGCATTCAGCTCCTGCCAACCTTAACCCTGACTTCTTTTTGCCAGGGTCAAGGTTCAAAGGGCTAGGGACACTGGGCTGACCCTCCATTTGCTACTTCCTCTGCCTGGAAAGGAATCTCTCCACCCCCATGCCAACAGCTGGCTTGAGAACTTCCCCTAACACCGGTGTCCCCACTGAAATAACTGCTGTATGTTTGTGCTGCTCACGATTGCACCCCTGCCCCAAGCAGCAAGGACACCAGCTGGTAGGCTCGTCAGGCCCCTCTAAGCAGGCAAGGACCAGAGGTGTGAACTAGCTGGACGGAACCTGGTCAAGGATCCGGCCTGTGCCTCTTCCCACCAGAAGCTGTATGTACGTTCAGAGCAGGGAGGGAGACACACACACCAATAAACACCAGTTCCAAAGGGTTGACTGTTTTATTATCTGACTGGGAAACTAGACAGTTCACGCCCTGAGGGGATGGAAGGGTGGGCTCAATCCTCCTCTTCGTCATCGCCAGCTCCAGCCCCGCCCTGGCCTTTCTTGGCATTCTTCCTCTTCACACGGCCTGGGCGGCCGCCCCCATACGGAGAACGCAGGGAGAAGTCAATGTGCTTCTGGGAATCCAGACGGACAATGAAGGACGGGATGTTCACCACCTGCTTTCGGACCCTGGAGAGGGGACGGCAGGGGAGGGCAGGTGAGGGCAGGGGAGGGGGCGGGAGAACAGGTCCCAGTGGGAGGAGACACTGCTGCTCTCTGCTTGGACTTGACAGGGTTGGTGCTGCAGCGATACCAACCAGAAAGGAGTTCCTGACCCTCCAACACCCATGTGTTCTGGAGAGCTCTAGAGCAACACTCAACTCACACCAGGCCACAAAGTAAGGAGGGCGAGCTGGTGGCAGCCAGTAATTCCAGGGTCTGAGTCTCAAAGTGCCAGACACAGGGTTTTACTCTAAGGAGCAGCCTCCCTGTCCTTGAGGCAGCTGAGACTCCGTTCTACAAAATCTGAAAAAGGGCGAATCGAGCACCCAGATGAAAGACCCATCTGCCCCCCAAGCCAGCTGGACTCCTGTTCTCCCAGCACTTGAGTATCAGACCACGGGCTGTAGTCCACTCGCCAAGTTAACAATGACAGTGTGCGAAAACAGACAGCTGAATCCACAAACCCACCCACATCAGCTGAGGCCCAACAACTTCTCTCAACTGGGCACACCGAGTGGTTACCTGTCTGGTTGCCTGTATGCCTGAAGAAGCCTTCGCAAGGTGTACGGCTCAGGCCGCAGTGACGCTTGCGCTGGGCTACAGGGTGGGGAATGAGGCTGTCCCCAGCACCCCATGAGCTGTTTTCAGGGGTCAATCTGTACCCTCAAGGTGTGTTCACACCTGTCACCTCCAAGGGCTGCATAGGAGGTAAGGACAGCAAACTTAACATGGGGGATGGGGCAGAAGACAGACTCAGGGAGCCCATTAGAGGCGTTACCTGATATGGCGCTGGCGGATCAGCACACGGGCGTGGTGGATCGACTTGGCCAAGCCCAGCTTGAAGACCTGGGTCTGCAGGCGCCTCTCCAAGAAATCCTCGATCTTCAGGCCCAGGATGTAATCCAGCTTCATCTTGCCCTCATCCAGCACTCCAATGCGCACTAGTCGCCGCAACAGTGCATTACCTGGTAAGAGAGAAGGAAGTACAGACTGAGGTGTCTGGCTCACTTCAGACTTCTTCGGTTCGAATCCCCCACCTCTTAAGGAGCTCCGTTATCATGAAATCAATGTATGGCCACTGTGACTCTTGCAATCCCCCCACAACCCTAAGGCAGGTCACTATGGCCACACTCTTACCAAAGAGGACAAGTGACCACACACACCTCTGTTCTCATCTGGAAGAAGGAGAACTTTCCTTGAAGGTGTCAGGAGAGTAATGAGACAATCCCCAGAAAAGGACTTAATGTTTCCCTGCAAGACTCTGTGCAACTGTTGCTTAACTCCCACAATGAAGCACAGAGCTTCAAGAGCTAACCTGCTGGAGTTGGGGAAGCCCTACTAGTCAAATCTGAGGCTAAACCACCTTCCTTAGTGGTAACACTGGACTGGCAGTACCAGCTTCTAGACCTGAGAAAACTCACAGGCTGCGCACATGTTTAAGTTGAATATCGTCATTCACTTTATCATTCTGTGGTTTTCACTAAAAAAATTATGGTGTGGATGTGCTAACAATGCATGGCAAAAGAGAACTCAGCAGATGTCAGCTTCTGACTTTTTCCGCAGCAGCCCCAGGCACAGGAGGTCTTGCACCGTGCCCACAGCACAGCTCCAGACCACTCCATGCTGGACTGCCCTTGTGATCCTGGGGGTAAACCCTGGCCCAAAGGCTCATACTCACTGTGATTACCACAAAGGCTCACAGCTAATCACACTGTCACTGGGGTAAAACCCAACTATCCCCACCCCCTTAAAGAGGGTATTTCACTTGTTATGAAGTGGCCATTATCTTTAATTATAGCAAAACAATTCAAGCAATCTCCGTTATTACTGGGCACTTCCAATATTCTTGGCATCATGACCCCTTGCTCCCAGAGAAAGCTCCATGACTGTGAAAAAGTGACAGTTTTCCTAGCACAGTTGATGGGAAAGAGATAGGATCAAAATGGAGAAATACACTCTACCTTTCCCAATACCCCAAGTCGTAACATGGCTTTGTTTTTTGCACCGATGAATGCTGAACAGAAGACATGCTATCTTCCTATTTACAAAACATCAACAAATATAAAATACCTAGAAATAGATTTAACCAAAGATAAAAAACCTGGACACTTACCGTAAGATACTGATGAGAAAAAGACTGAAGACACAAAATGAAACGATATTTGGAAAAATAGTTAAAATACCCCCATTACCCCAAGCAATAGACAAACTCAATGTAATCCCTATCAGAATTCCAAAGGTGTTTTCTTTTTTTAAACATTTGAGAGCGCGAGCGTGGTGTGAGCACAAGTGGGGCTCTATCCTGGGACTCTGGGATCATGACCTGAGCTAAAGGCAGAGAGAGGCTTAACCAACTGAGCCACCCAGGTGCCCCACCAAAGGCGTTTTTCATATAAGTAGAAGAATCAACCCTAAAATTTGTACGGAACCACAAAAGATCCCAAATCAATCTTGAAAAGGAAAAAAATGCTTGCAAATCATGTTTCTGACATGAGGTTAACACCAAAAATACACAAGCGACTCCAACTCAATAGCAAAAAATTCCAATGTAATTTAAAAATGGGCAGAGAATCCGAATAGGTGTTTTCCTTAAGACACAGATGACCAACAGGTACATGAACAGGTGCTCATCAACACTGATCAGGGAAATGCGAATCAAAATCACAGTGAGTTCACCTCACACGTGTCAGATTGGCTAGATCTAAAACCCAACAGACAAATAGTGCTGGTGCGGATGTGGAGAAAGGAAACCCCTGTGCATCGTTGGTGGAAATGCAAAATGGCACAGTCACTATGGAAAACAGTATAGAGGTTCCTCAAAAGTGATGATGCAGCAATCCCACTTCTGGGTATTTATCCAAAGAAAATTCAAGTGCTAACTGGAAGAGAGAAGCTCCCCCATGTTCACTGCATTATTTCCAGTGGCCAAGACACGGAACGTTAAGCATCTACTGACGGTTGAATGGGCAAGAGAGGTAGTATACACACACACAGTGGGGTATTACTCAGCTCAGCCATATAAAGAATGGAATCTCACCACCTGCAACAACGTGGATGGACCTTGAGTGCATTATGCCAAGTGGACTAACTCAGAGTCAAATCCCATAGTCTCACTTATATGTGGAATCTCAACAAAACCACCACCATCACCAAAAAACACAAGTTCATAGATACAGAGAATAGATACATTATGGTGGTTGCCAGCAGCGAGAAATGGGTGGTCAAATGTACAAACTTCCAATTATACTTATTGTATATTGCAACGTTGCTAAGAGTGTACTTTTTTTTTAAAAAGAAATTTTATTTGACAGCGCGTGCACGCACAAAAGCAGGGAGAACGGCAGGCAGAGGGAGAAACAGGCTTCCCAATGCAGGCAGGGTGCAATCCCAGGACCGTGGGATCATGACCTGAGCCAAAGGCAAAAGCTTCACTGACCGAGCCACCTAGGTGTCCTGGAGTGTATCTTTTTTAAAGGCTTTATGACAAGGGTTAACTAGACTTACTGTGATCATTTCACAGTATATAGAAATATCAAACTGCTATGCTGTACATCTGGAACTATAACGTGGTCTGTGAATTATATGTTGCTTAAAAAACAAGGATATTCAAATATTAATACAAAAGCTACCCAACAGGCAAATAAAAACGAGTTTGGGGCGGGGCGCCTGGCTGGCTCAGTTAAGTGCTTCCGCTCAGGTTGTGATCCCAGGGTCCTGGGTTTGAGCCCTCCATTAGGCTCTGCTCAGTGGGAGAGTCTGCTTCTCCCTCTCCCTACTTGTGCTCTGTCAAATAAATAAATAAATTTCTTAAAAAAAAAAAAAAAACAAAAGACGAGTTTGGCATTATTATCCACCAGCTAAGACACTTTATTATGTCTTTTTGTCCTTATGCTAGAGAACAGAAACTTCAAGAATCCGAAGTTTAAAATCTCCAATTTAGAGACTTCTAGGTAAAATAAAACCACTATCATTAAAAAACAAACGTATTTCACATTTACTATCGAACCATCTACACATTGTTAATAGGAAGGCCCAACCATTCCATCAACACCAAAAAAAGCCTTATGTATGTATAATAACTAAAGTAATTTTCAGCGCACACTGAATAAAACTTTGTACCTTCAACAGGAATATGTCCAACAACTGAAAAGTTACCCGGGCTCCATCTGGCCAAAGCGAGAACAATCAGAACGTTTTACAAATGTAAAACAATGTGCACAATCCTCAGAGGCAGAGGCCCTTCCTTGTCATCATGGCACAAGGCAAACGCTGAGGTACTTTAGTTGCTGT